TGTTATATTTTGAACAAATGGACTAAATCGACCTGAAAAGAAATATAATTTCTTTTTTTGTTTTTTTAAAAGAACTGTGTAGTTTATTTTTTTATTGTTTACATACACATAAAATTGCCCAAACGATGTTTATCTTTTCCGTACAAATGTTGATAACCGTCAGCTGTGCAAAATAATAAAAGAAATAGATCGGCAGCAGATAAATTTGTCAAAAGATAATTAGTTGCGTTGCGCATATGTGGATATTTCATTACAATAACAATAACTAAAATATTACCGGTAACACCAACTAAAAGTATTATACTATAAAAAATACAAGCTACTAATTGTAAACCAGGAATCCATTCAATTGATTGTGTTGTCGCGTTACTATCATTGACAGTCATCATATGGTCCATTAATATTCGATTATAATATGCTGTCAATAACAAATTTTCTGTATATGTCTCATCTAAAACAGTAGAATGAAAAGAAAAAAAGAATTTCTTTTTCTTGTCATTGAAAAAAAAAACAAAGTCATAAAGTCTGAATTTATCTATAACTATGAAAAACAATTAGGCTTACTAATGATAAGCCTATATATATATATATATTATGACAGTTAATCAAGTCATAGAATTTTCTTCGATATTATACGTTAATTTACTTTCATCATCATTGAAATATTTAAGAAAAACTAGATGTATGCTTTCATTCTCAATTAGATCGCGTGATCTTCTCTGTCTAATAACTCTGTCTATCTGATCTGCACGTAATTAATTTTCTCTTGTCATATACGATCGTATTGTTTTCGTCAACAAAAGCGTGCATCTCACTCGAAATCAAATCACACAAAAAAAGAAAGAAATCAAGACTTACAACAAGGGAATAAATATAGACAACAGATAAATAATTATAAAAACATCTCATCATTCTTTTGCCTCAACAGGCCTATATAAATAACTATAATAAGTTTTGTTTCTTTCTTAATTTCCTTTAACATAAACTAATTATAAAACAATTATTTAGAAAAGTAAATTATTTGAATATGAAAAATTTTATTCTATTTGAAACACAACGTTTTGAAATTTTGTTACTTTATTAACTATCATTTAGACAAGCTGTCACATATTGTCGCATTTTCATATAACTCCAAGGACCTCAATCAATACTGCATACATAAATTTTCTTTTTCTTTCATTTTTATTTTCATTCATTTAGCGGAAAAAATTATTCTTTTTTTGATAGTTGATTTGGCATACAGTTTCGAAGTCGATAGAATAACATTTGTAAAAAGTTGAATCAAATGAACAATAGAGAAAAATATAGAAAGGCAAAAACATAAAAAATAACAGAGAATGTATCAGTCCTTTGTTTAACCTTCTATCGTATAACTGGTGATACAAAAGTTATACTTATTAATTATATATTTAAATGTGTTTGATGATCTTAATATTCAATCCTATATACCAGTACATACTGCACATTAAATCAGATGGAGAGACACATATTTGTAAAAACACCAACTATTAAAAAAAAAGAAAAGAAAAATACTCACAAATGTCAGTCAAACAATTTATTCATGTCATCTATAGTTGTTTGCGTGTGCAATGCGTGTTCTTATAAAAATGACAGTTTGAGATTTTATCTCACAAGAACTGTAAATTCAAACAAAAGCTGAGTAATTCTTCATCCAGAATAGAAATAAAATGGTTTTCTTTCATGCTCAAGTAAGCAAAAAACATTTAGAAAAATTTCTTCACTATGTTTTATTGTTCAGTATATCTTTATTAGCGGGGATTACTTGGAAGTCATGACGGTGATAAAAAAAGCAGATGAAAAGAATTTTTTATTATAAATAGAAGCCTTAACTTACCAATAATGACGAGAATGAATCAATGTATTTTATTCAATGTCGAGTGCATACTTTCAAATATTGTATTTATCTTTCTATCTGAAGTTCATGATTATTATGTCGGAAAGAATATTATTGACTTTTTCAAATGAAAAAATTTTAGAATAACTTTTCCCAAAACCAAAAAATACAAAAACAAAAGATTTCAAAATGCCGTCAAGGAACTACATTAATTTTCTTGTCTATCAATTCTCTTTTGCTAAAATAATAGTTTTCTTTGATTGATTATTGCGGAAATGAATTACAACAACGAGATAAATAACAGGTGGTCCATAAAGAATCGTTTAATTCTCTACAAAACCATATACAAATTGATATCACAGAGATAGAAGTAGAAGAGATATTGTAGTAATATTACGAACATGCAACATCAACAACTTTCAAGCACAAAATATAGTTCTCTTGTATTCATGTACTTGGAAGTGGTTCATGTTGCATATCCGCAGTATTAATATAGTAATTACTTTGCTTATTTTTATCTCTAGAATACCCATTTGTATATGTTTTTTTTAGAGAATTAAATGCTGATTTTTTTGAAAACAAAGTTCAGTCTGAATCTATGAAAACTAGACAAGATATTAAGAAAGTAAAAAAACCGTCATTTTTTATGGGCTACTCATTAGAATAGACTATTAAAGAATCTAAGTGTTTTGCTTATTCCAGCATTTATACCGTTCAATCCTGCGATCTTCGTGTGAAGCTCGTCCATACACTGTTTCTTGTTGCATATTGAATCTGACTGCCTTCTACACTTAAACTATAATAGTTTCGTCTACGTCAAAGATGGAATTGATTCAATTTGGTTAGGAGAAAGAGATGAACTGATTTAATTTCTTCTCTGTATAAGGCATAGTTGATCGTTAGAAAAAAGAAACTTACAATGACGATATATGTTCTATTTTTCGAATTATTTTTTTAACATATTCGCGGCGATTCGATTTTCTCAAAAAATAGTTTTAACAAATTCATTTTCATATGCATTCATCTTCTGATAAATGTACTACTTGGCCTTTTTAATATGTGCTGCAAGCTCTTCTTTTTCCTCTTTGTACTATCATATAAGCAATCTTCTATATTGGACTGAGTAATTACTGAAGTTTGTTTTTCTCTTTCTTATGAATTGTGTGATAGAAACAAGATAAAAGAAATGAAGTTTCGATGTTTTTTTCTGTCGCATTCTTTTTGTAGTATTATCTCTGATTCTTTCCTCTGTGATGTGTAAAAAACAGCTGAAATTTTGTGTTGATTTACATATCGTTTGACGAAACTGATCTAGAAGACAGTGATAATTTATCTAGTGATGTGGGTGCTTTGGATGATGATGACTTCTCTAGAATGCAGTTTGAATTTACTAACTCCGAGGAAGAATTTGTTGATGATGACGTAGATTTACAAGTCTGAAATCAAATAGAATCAGAATCGAATGCTGAGATCTAGGATAATCATAGAATCGTCGAAGAAGTAACGCCAAAATTGGAACATAATGCAAACAATCCTATTGATCACTATTGACATTTCATCATTGACGAAATTATTAGTCTGGTGGTTTGTGAAGCTAATCGATATCAACTACTTGATTTACAAGGAGACCTATTCCAAAACGGTATGATCATTCTACCGTTTCATGAAAGTCTTGTGCGATTTTTAGTCATTGATATGTGAGTCGATAAGCTGAAAATTGGTCCTAGATAACAATCAAGAAGTCAATCAGCAGCGAACAACAAACAAGAGAAGCGAGTATGTGACAGCAAAGAAAATAAAAACTTTCTGTTCTAATTGTGACAATTTTCTTCATCTTGATTGTTTTAACGAGAAACATCACGCTATGCAATGACTGATTTTCAAGAAAAAAAAAGTAAAGCAGATGACACATAAGAAATAAAATTCTGTCGAAGAAAAAGAGAAAGGAAGCTCCTCTCAACCAAGTTTCTTGTCAAAATTGACTGGGACTCACTGGTGAGCAACATCGTCGCGAATGTGCTAACTAGTCTTAATTAACTTCACGTAGCATTAATTAACTTTAGCTAGTCTTAGCAACTACACAAACTCATTTTATTTCATATGATCCTCCCTCTAGTCGAGGGAAAAACGATTGCGCGGGAAGGCAAAAAGTGAATGATTGTACAATTTTTAGAGATCCTCTTTGAACTCATTTTAGCACTGTAGTATGAAATTTACTAACCATTGGCATATAATTGTACTTCTATACGCTGTTTTCTTAGGCAAAAATAATACAATAGTTGATATAATTAAATTATTAATCAGACAAGATTCATTTGTGCTCATTTCATATGAGCATGTAGCTCTTGAATAAAGATTTCGGTTAATATAAAAATGATGATGATCTGTCTTAGTTGAGATACCACGCACCAACTCATCTTTATTAGCTCAATATATATCGTATATGGCTTCGGCAGAATTCAGAACAGAAAGAAATTCTGTTGACGGCTGGTCTTTTTTTGATAAGAAAAAAAAATGAAATCCGCTCGAATCTTTTTAAAAAACATATCAATAGATAGTCCATGTTGAGATGAATGGAATCATATAGTGATGATACACAAATTGAAATGACAATGCCAAAATACGAAACCATCTCTACCATCAAGAGCACGTGAAGAGAAGATGATGAAATTGTTTGAATGCGCGCTTTCGAGTACTGACAGTACAGTACAAGAAAAAAGAAGATTATAGTCTCTCTGATATGTAGGCAACAATGAGATAGACCTGCTCAAGATTTATCATTTGTTTCATAGACCTACTATTTCTTACAAGCCCAAAAAAGAACTTTGTGTGCTAATGAAATAGAGGAAAAAAGATGTATGCGTGTCATGTTTAGGCACACAAAAAAAAAGTCATACGATAATGGTTGATAAACAGGGAAAAGAACGTGTGTTACAGCATCTACCTGTGTTCTTTTATAAGAATACATTTGATTACAACTTGTTTTTTTGTCTAGATGAAGGAGCAAAAATTAACGTCCAAACTACGACTATTGCTGCTGTTAATTGTTACCTGTTTAACGTTGATCATAACAGTACTCGTTGGTTTCACTGGTCATCTGATCTATTGGATTTTATTCGAATCATTCGGTCGCAATGGCCGAAGGATGAAACGAAAACTTGTTTTGACCAAAGACGATCGAGATGACGAATATTATGCAGTTATTATCGGTGCCGGCTTTTCTGGTATAGGCATTGGAATCAAATTACATGAGGCTGGCATGTATAAATATGTAATATTGGAACGTCTATCACACATCGGTGGTACTTGGTATGCTAATCAATATCCAGGTTGTGCTTGCGATATTCCATCGAATCTTTACTCGTTTTCATTCGAACCCAATTCACAATGGTCATATTTTTACGGTCGACAACAAGAAATAGCCGAATATATGGAACATTGTGCAGACAAATATGATCTTCGTCGACACATTGAATTCAATACAACAGTTATTCGTTGTGATTGGCTCGACGAACGACAAGTATGGAGAGTAACAACTCGGTTGAAGAATGATCAAGAGAAACAATTCTTCTGTCGAATATTAATTTCTGGTAATGGACCTTTGTCGAATGGTGCCTATCCAACGAATATCCCAGGAATTGATAAATTTCAAGGTCGAATGTGTCACACAGCTGAATGGGATAAGTCAATTGATTTCATCAATAAACGAGTGGCTGTCGTGGGAACTGGTTCTAGTGGAGTTCAAGTTGTGCCCGAATTATACAAGATGAATGTGTCAAAATTGTACGTCTTTCAACGTACACCTGCCTGGGTCATTCCTCGTATTGATCGACCTATACATGCATGGGAAAAAACGTCTCTTTATCATGTTTCCAATTATTCAGAAATTCAATCGAGGAATTATCTATTGGATATATGAATCGACTGCACTTTCGTTTACTTACCGATTACCAATTCGACATATATGTCAAGAATTAGTCAATTATAATCTTACGAGACAAGTTAAAGATAAAGAATTACGAAAGGAATTGACACCATCATTCGATGTTGGTTGTAAACGAATTTTAATTAGTAATGATTGGTATCCAACATTGCAAAAACCCAATGTATTGCTTGTTACTAGTCGAATACGAGAAGTGACATCGAATTCAATTATTACTCAAGATGGTAACGAATATCCTGTTGATATTATCGTATGGTCAACTGGATTTCAAGTGCATAAAATTCCGTTTGAAATTTTTGGCTCAAATGGTTTTTCACTTTCTAAACTATGGGCGGAAACAATTCAGGTAAGTGAGATATTCACATGATCAATTTGTAGATGTACAAATGTCTTTTTATCTAGGCCTACCGTGGTATGACTATGCCTAACTTTCCTAATCTATTTTTAATCCTAGGTCCGAATGTAAGTTTTGGTTATAATACGACTATATTCATGATCGAAGCGCAATTGAATTATATTATGGAGGCGCTTCTATTTATGCAAGAAAGTGATGTAAGTTCCATATCGATTAAGCAAAATGTTTTTGAACAATACAATCAACAATTACAATCAAAACTGAAAAATACAGTGTGGCAATTAGGTAGTTGTCGTTCATATTACCAAGATGCTCATGGGAATAATATAGGTAATTGGCCCGATTTTACATGGATCTATTATTTATTTATGCGAAATTTTGATCATAAAAATTATCAGATAACCAAAATGTAATATGATACATTGTTTTAGTTCAATATAATCTTTGTATCTTATGGAGAAATTGTTTGAATAAAATAATGATTTCATTTTGTCTTGTCAAATATCATGTAATCAGACTTGATAATTTATCACTTGGTAAAGTTGTAATAAGCTACTGTCTTATTCAATAGCTGGTGTACAATCTTTTCATCGTAGCAACATATTTTCTGTAGCAACGAAAGACAGAAAAAAGGATAAATCATCATTACTTGCTTTCCAGATCGTCACTAGATGATTTGTTATATAGTTTCAATTGGCGAAGATATTGAATTATTTCATTGAAAGTTTTCTGATAAAACTTAGTGAAAATTTACTTTTTATTGAAAAAAAATGTATTTTAAATGTACAATGCTAGGCGAGTGTCGTTATGCATTCATTATTTCATTCGGCGTAGAGTATATTGGATTTGTAGTATGTACGAGTAACGTATGAATGATCATCAACTAGGAATGATTCACACATGCGTACTTTCGAGTTAGACAAAAGGAAAAGACTGAAAGAATCTGAATTGGTCCATTGGACTTTTTTTGCATTAAATACTATTGAATAAAATATAGAATTAAAAAAACGAAACGTGACAAATGTTTTAATACTAAATTCAGGGTGATTTAGTAACATTTCATAAACTGTTTCCTTACTTCGATTATGATAGAATAGACATGCGGCATATATATGGTAAAATAGATGAACAATCTGTAAAGCCTTTATAAAACTTTACAAAACCAGGAGCTATGGTTAACGCTGCATTAGAGGAACCTTGACTCAGGCTATATTTTGTACAATGGAATCGTTTTTTCAATGAACTGTTTCGCTAAAAATCCCTATACGGATTGTCCTAATGTGGGTGTGGAGTATGGGCGAAGAAAAGAACAACACCCTCACACACCCTCAAGTCTTCTATCAAGAGCTACTATTTTTAAAAGAAGAGAGTAATTGACTCAAACAAAAGGTTGTCGTCCTTCCTATGACTGATGTGCAATAATTTATGACCCTTGTCTAAGTTAATTATTAAATATTTGTATCCGTCGAAATATTGAAATATTATTTCGGTACCGCTTCAATATCGCTATAACAGTTATGTAACTATTTTGGAATGAAAAAGTATTTTTTTTAAACAAAAAAAAACCAAGTTGATAATCTACATGATAGACTATTGCCTGTAGAGAAAAAGTTCGAAATAATGTTTCAAGCTACTTCTATAATTTCAGCGTTCAATACTTTCGTTGAATGTTGTGTCCTATAGTAACATCTATGTTTATAGATAGAAATGTATAATAGCAAACTTTGAAAGAAATTTAGTAGGTAAAGAAGCTAAAATTTGAAATAAGTTGATATTTGAAAGCAAACAGATCATGGGAAGAAATACTTGTGCCAATCACAAGAAGAAGACACCGCAATAGATGGTAAATTGCAACATCGTCGTTGAATTTACTCTAACGACATACATAAGTGTCTCAAATCTGTCATCCATTGATACATGACGTGTCTATATTAGATGTGTCTTCCACTATTCAGATATTGTATAAATCGTCTTGTTCATATATACATCTATCTTGATTTTTTTTGACTGTTCTTTTCGTCACTTCAATTTGAAAGTTCAAACTTTGAACTATCAATATGTTGTTTAACATTCTCATGGAGATTATTAACTTTGCATTGAAGAATGAAACATTCTCGATACAAATTTTCGATGAATGAACCTGTTGAATTAAGGCGAGCATGGCTGTGGGTGTTAGTTTTTTCCAATGTCAAACTCGCACGCATACCCACATATCCACACAGCCATGCCCATACCCATCCACACCCAATGAAAATGACTGCTGCAGAAATTAAAAGAGAAAAGCGTGAAATAAAATTATGTATAATCGAAAAATCAATTACTTTATTCAAAAATATGCTCACGTTAATGATAGTAAGTGTTTATCAAAACGATATTTTTATTTTTTATTCTTAAAAATATTTTAGTTGATTGTTAGCGTGTTGTTAATGATATTGTGAAAGATTTGAACATTCAAATAAATGAGCTATACAATACATTAAAATTTATTAGAAACAAAATGAACATATCATCCTTGAACCTAAACAAAGAAAATATTGTTGACATTATTAGTAATATATATATATATATAATTATTCAAATGATAATAGTAGATTATTATTCTCTTTGCCAATGTTTTTATTCTAAATATTTATATTTTTTGAAACACAGATGATAATAATATAGGCAATCACCAATCAACGTCAGAAATTATGTGTTTGTCATCTTGGATCGATTAATAAGGCCAACGAGAAAAACAAAAAACGATCTTTTACTTAGGGCAATCCAAAAGTAATGACAGTGACATTTTAGTATTCTATATAGTAATGTTGAAAAAACTTTCTTTTTATATACAATGATAGTAAAAAAAATACTCTTTTTTTTTCTGTGATATTTGATCATACTTCAATTAATATCATAATAAAGTTCTAATAAGACCAGTTTGGTTATCATGTGTAACGGTTATATCAGTTCATATTGTCTTCGATATGTATTCTTTTCTCTTACCTCTTTTAAGGCTTTATCATTTATATATATATGTATACAAAGACACATGTCGTGTCTTTCTTTTGTGCATCCGCAGTTTTTTATTGTGTTCTTTAGAAAGTGAAAGAAATACAGTTAAATCAAGTCTTAAGACTCTTCATTAATGTTTTAAACAGATAAAGAAAATTTTTCGCTCTTACATTAAACTGCACACTACACTTAATATTCAAGCAACAGCTATTCATGATGAACTATGTACTGTTTTTGATGATGAAGCTTCTTCTTTAAGAACTGTTACAAGATAGTCTCAGTGGTTTTCTGAAGGTGAAGAAGAAATTGAAGACAAAGAGCAACCTGACAGACCTCTTAGTGAACAAGTTCATAGTATTACTAATGATGATTCTTATATTACAATAGAAGAACTGCAAGAGAAAACTGGTTTGAGTTATGGCATCGTTCATAGAATAATCTCCGATCATTTAAAGCTTAAAAAGATTATTGCTTCTTATATATCTAAACAACTGATCAATTCTCAACGAGCTGAACGAGTTCGACTATGCAAAAAATATCTATCAAAACTTGAAGAAGGGAGATGGCGATTATGTGATGTGGTAACAAGTGATAAATTGTGGTTTTATCATAAACAAGCTGCTCGACAATCATCAAATGCTCCTTGGGTGGTAAAAGAAGTTTCTCCACCTACAATAATTCGACGAAGTAAGTTTGCTCCAAAAACTTTATTTTGCATTTTTTTTTAAAAATCAACCAGTCCCATTCTAATCCATTATGTCGAACCCAAGCAAGCTATCGACCATCAGTATTACATTCAAAATTGTTTGCAACGTGTTGTCGAAGAAATCAAGAAGCCAAAACCTTTATCAAATACCTATGCCACTAAAATTTATCATGATAATGGGAGACCACATATTCATAAAGGTGTTTCCAATTATCTTCAATTAGAAGGTGTTACCATAGAGCCACAACCACTTAATTCTCCAGATCTGGCATCTTGTGATTTTTCGATTATTCGACTTGATCAAACAAAACTTTAGTAATCAAACTGATTCCGAATTGTTACATCATGTTGTAACCGAATTCATGTACTCTTTGAATAAACCAGTGTATAAAAAAATATTTGATACATGGATTCAACGAATGCAATTGTGTGTAGATAACCAAGGAGATCATTATGAAAATTTTATAAAACAAAAACTTGTTGAACCTATTTATGTACGTTTCTGCACTGTTGTCAGTGTCTTTTGTGAACGCTAATATGTAGAAACGATAAAGATTTAAAAGAAGTGAGAGAAAAGAACACATATCGAAGATAATATGAACTGATATAACCGTTACACATGACAACCAAACTGGTCTTATTAGAACTTTATTATGATATTAATTGAAGTATGATCAAATATCACAGAAAAAAAAGAGTATTTTTTTTACTATCATTGTATATAAAAAGAAAATTTTTTCAAGCTTAGTATACAATACTAAAATGTCACTGTCCTTACTTTTGGATTGCCCTAAGTATATTTCAAACTTGTTTAAATTTTTTTGAGATCTATTTTTCCGAAACATAAACCATTGCCGATGTTTTATTCACTAGTATAAAAGTTAAAATGATGAAAAAACTATATCCATGACGGATACAGCAATGACGATGTCTTGTCATGAAAAATGAGAAACGTTCAACTTTACAAATTGATATTCAGTGTAAGAAGCAATTCAGTTGATATTTCTTGCAGATATCAAACAAGTGCCAATCAATTGATTTCCTTCTTTGAAAGTGAAACTTGTTATTAAACTGTTTTCGAATAGTATATATAAGAGTAATACTGTTTCTTGACTTCACAAAAGTAGCAAAACATATTAAGCATGTATTGAGTTGAAAAAGTGCATCTAAGTTATTTATTGAAAAGAGAATAGAAAGAAATAGTTAATATAAATGTGAGAAATTGAATAGCTAGAATAAAAATATTCAAATGTCTTTGTAGTCATTTATTGATGTAGTTATTGCTTATATTCTATTGGTTGTCGAGAACAGTATCGATCCGATGAATTTTTCCAGATGAACCAAACGTGTATGTCGTTTTGTATGTTTTACCACCATGACTGATCCGAGCCTGCATTGTATTGCCCTTTGGATCATCCTGGATAAACTCTACAATCTTCCACTGTGTGGCGCTTTCATCGCTATAATAATCTTGGGCTTCTTGAATATTCTTGTAGATAACTTTCGAATCGGTTGTTTTCTGAATATCGGCTTCGAGAAATTTATCGAGTTTATCTATTTCACGACAGCTGACGGTCTGAGCAAATTGTTCGACGAGAGCCTTGTGCGATGATTGACACATGATGCCTGAGTAGTAGTGTGATTGCTGGCTGCTGTTCTATCTATACGACTAAAAGAATAGTTTTACTTTTTTTCTGTATTCTCATTTAAACG